AGTTAGGGTGGCAGTTGGGCAGTGGATCTTGGAACAACACAGAAAGTACTGGGAGGAGACACCGCGACTCCATACCGCAAAGCAGTTGGTGGGACGTCCACAACCAGTACGTAAAAATGAACTGCTAGGTCTCAGCAGGCAAAAAATAACGAGGAAGTGGCCTTTTTAACCGACCTGCAGGGGCTGCGAATTAGAGGACGAAACTACTCTGCATGTTATGTGTCACTGCACGTCATATGCAACAGGTAGACGAAGACCCCTGGGAGGGAATGAAATTCCACCAGACCAGATCATGCGAACTCCCCTCAAGATTCTTTTGGAATTCATTGAATATTGTAACGCAAATGGCCTGGGGTACTCACGTTTGGAATGGGGGATCGAAATTCATGGTATTTCAGTAAATGGGAGCCCCATTTGGGAACCATTTACTGTCAAATATGACACTGACAAACGGGAAATTTCGCACCTGGATTGGAGATTTCGAGAACCTTCTGGGTTACCTGGAGGAAACTATATAAGCGACGACGAGAACCATGGGGAGTCAGTGAAGTGACAACAGCGACCGAGTTTAGAAGAGGTTAAACCCCGAGAGTCGGAAATCCGAGTTTTGCGTTTGTTATTGTTATTGTTTGTGAAGTTGACGTTAATTTAGAAGTTAGTTTGTTCCTGTTCCGTATTTAAAGTTATACCGAGGTAAATAAAAGTTGGAAGCAGAAAAAAGAGTTTAATACTCGGCCATCCACGGTACAATATACAGGGATAATGAAGGAGTAAAATTACGAGGGCACAATAGGACAGAAATGACCGCGGTGCAAGGCCAAACACCACCTCGGCGGTGAGGAAAGGGTTTTAGTGGGTAAACAGCTTAGCTGGAGTCCCACACAACCCAGAGCGACAGACCACCAGCTCTGGGAGTGGATAAAAGAGCATTTCCCAAACTTCACCGGAAAAAAAACTTAATTTACTTAAAATTAAAATAAAGTAATAGGGTTGCACTACTTTGTCAAAACTTGTCAAATGGGAAGAGAGATGGCAGCATAGCTACCGAAACGGGCGTCAGGAGAAAAATAGTTTTGAAAATTTTCTACAAAGTAGTAAAACTCGATAATTTTATGTTTTTTGTCTTATGTTTCAACCTTAAAGAATAGCGATAATTAAAAAATTAATTAAAGACTTTTTCAATGGATTCACCAATAAGAGCCACCTCGAATTATTTGCCCTTATTTATTCAAATATTCCCACCCACAGATTTTAGCATTCACGAAGTCACCCAGTGTTCTAAGACCTGGATAGTGTTGCATTCTTACCAACTAAAAAACCCCCATTTTTGGTACTACGAGTTATAGTTATCCTTTAAAACTTGTAGTCTTTTCTAAGAATTTTGCTCCGGCATCCGTATGCCATAGCATGGCATTCTGCCCATGTTAGCAAGCAGCTAGCTGGGCTATTTAATTTGACGCCCTAAACGTATACATGTATAATATCTACTACAAACACTACGTTGTTAGCACACTTACAGCTTACGCCGTTTGATACCTGTTGCCCTAGTGGGCTAGTTGGTGTCTGAGCCTTTTTTCCAGGTCCCCAGATCTAGGCCTGGGTAACACTGTGTTGAGTTGCACTATTGAGTTGTTGCCGCTATCTGAGTTACCGAGTTATAACTCATCGGTTAATAAGTTATAATTCATAAAAAATTATTTTTTCTTATTTTTTTTGCATAAAAGATTCACTTTGCCAGTATTTTACAGTAAAACGATAGGAAAAACGCGGTTTTTCTGTTTAGATACAGTGTTGTTTTGAAATATTGACCTAAAATAGAAAAAACCTAAAAAAAATAAAAAATTGGGTAAATATTTTTTAGGAGTTGGCGCAGTGCTGCTTAAGTGGCTTGGTGCGCCATCTCAACGCACAAAATGTTGATGACTTTTCTTAACTTGTTTTAGATTTACTTTAAAGGCCATTTGTTAATAATATTTTTTAAATGTCATTTAAATTTCATTTTTTGTCATTTGTCAATTGTCAGTATTTTAAGTAAAACTAAAAATTAATGCAATTGTTGCGTAGAAAGAATTGCTTTATAGAAACTCTGTTAAAACAAGAATGACTCTGGTCCTTTTTTCAAGATAATCTTAATTGGTTTCGGTAAAAAATTGAATAAAATTATTTGCTTTTTGTGCCAAATTCAAAGCTGAAATGGGTTCTCTAAAGTTCCCTGCAAACCGATAAATGAGGCGAATTTTCTAGCAAAATTAATTTTGTAATTTTTGACTGAAAAGATACTATTATTGTCAGAAAAGAAGAAAATCATCGGAAACTAATGCTTTTTTGTGTTTTCGACTAAAAACTTTCAGTTTTGTGATCCATTTTGGGAAAATCTAAATAGTTTTCGGGGAAAACCGGGTAGAATGTATTTTCGTTTTTGTCCCAAATTCGACGCTGAAAAAAGTCTTTGTAAAATTTTTACAAAGCTATAAATTTATCTTGTAATTTTTTGCGCAACAGTCCCCCAGATCGTAAATAATTTTAAGTGAAACTAGCAAAAAGGTCGTTTTTGAGCAGAAAGTACCTAAAGCAAAAGCAAATAAAGTAAATCAAAAGCAAGTAAAAAAGTCATCAACATTTCGCCAGCAACGATACTGAGTTATTGCGCCGGTGCGCTGAGTACCTTCCAGCTTTCTCGAAGTCTGCGGTCGCTTTCCTTCACTTGCCTTTATCTATTAGAGATGACACGAAATACTTGTCACAGGAATTTTGGAACAGATATCGATATGGAACAGTCGGTACCTGTGACCGATATTTAAAATAACATATGATTTGAAATAAGAGGGCTTGCCTACGATGGTCTCTGGTCAGTACCAGTACAACATCTGGGATTTCTATATTTACAAAGCAAAAAGACAAATACCTGCCTTGGCGTCTTTTGATTCCCCGCGGCGTTGTAAATTGGCCTGAGTTTTAGTGAAAGGAGATATTTTATTCTCGTGAAGTGGTAAGGTTTTGTATGTATGGGAGTGGGACGTGGGACCTGATGATTTTCGAATCCATGCACCCATGATTCGGCAAATACCAATATTCAATGAATAGAAAATATTGGCCTATCGGAACAGCAGTAATAGCCATCTCCGATATTTCCTTTAATGTGACCAGGCCTGTGAGTCACAGGCTGCGACTGAGTGACTGTTTTTTAGGAATTCTGAGCTGTTTCTTGTCCTTGAAACTTGATCCTTTTCGATCAATAGCAGGGCTTCTGAAATAAAATAGCATTTGTTGCATCTGCCCAGTGGAGTAGTGGACGAACTACATTTAAATTTGTATAGGCGCTATTTACCTAGTCTGGACATGTTTCAATATTTGTTTATATCAAACATAGCTAAAGTATTAAATGGCTAATGTTCAATCAAGCGATAAGATGAATTGTAATCAGTGATTAGCCTTTTGTGGTCACCTTTTATTGTGTTCAAATAATGTTTCGATAAAATGGTAAACCGTTACTCATAAAAAATGTTATGACTTTGTTTTGAACATCAACCATTGCATACATAAAGGAACAAAAGGCATTCGGTCTTCGGTCATAATTTATTGCTGACCCAGCAAATACGCACCCAAATTACTAAGAAGTGGCGTGGATATCCTCCAATGGAACAATTAGTGCAGTGGGATTAGTAATGTAATTTTTTTTATAATTAATTTGGTTTTGGCACTATAACTTTTTTTGAAGGTGTCTATATACTTTATAAGTGGTATAAATTTAAGTTCCAAACATTCATAACTTTCTGTTCATTCCTATTTGTTATATAAAAAGGACTCTTGCCAGATTCTAAATACATTTTTCTTGAGACGTCGGAAATACTTCTCTGAGGCTGTATTTTACTCGTAAAGAGTTATACTACAACGTACAGTAAATGAACATTTCATTACTAACTGACCAAAAAAAAATGATGGTACCATTTTCTTGAAACAAAGCTAAATTAATTATTGAAAATTAACAAAACACTGAAATCGACGGTTTCTGTTTCGATTTTTGAGTAAACTAATGAACGGATTTTAATGTAGTTCATCTGATATCATAGGTATTTTTAATACTTGAAAAAAAGAATAAAACTTTTTTCAATAGCATCTGTGCCTGAAAAATACTGGCTTGTGTCATCTCTGTTATCTATGCTTTCCTTGCGAGAAACTCTCTTAGTGGACCCACCCTGACAACGGTTTATCTACCGTTAAAACGGTAGTCCTGGCAAGCCTGACTAGGACTAAACCAGTGTCGCAATATATGTAAACAATGAACTGTATTTGTGCGTTGGTGGCCACCCCCTGGTGGCTAAAATTGTAACTACAAGCTAACTAGTATTTTGAAATTTGCTTTGTTGATATTCGCGTATAATAACTTTTGCAAGCTTTTAAAGAAATAGTAACAGATCGAAAAGAGCGTAAAGCCCCCTTGTCCAATGCATCCGTTTGTACGATGATAAGACGGTACGAAAGTGTTTCTATTGGTTGGAGATCTGTTAGTTTGTACGACCAACTGAATGTTGCGGTTTATGACACAATGAATAAAATAAAATAATAAGACTATTTTTCAAAACTTTGATTGGTTGGTCGACTTCTAGAGAATTCTAGGGGAAGCAATTCTTCCCTTGCTTTCATGGACCGCATGCCCCTGCAAATGGGTATTATATTAAAAAGTAAAATTAAAATCGTAATCTTGACGAAATCGAAAACGAAAAAATGAACTCTGTTACCGTGAAATTACTTTTTATCCTTTATTTCTAATTGTCTACATTAGATACACACTTCCACCATCACAACAACCATGACAATTCCTTTCCCCCCCCCC